GTTGACCAAAACTATGGGGGATAAAAATGACTAAAATGGAGGGAACTGACACACAAGTGGTCATTCTGTGGGTAAAGTATTCCTTAAAGCCTAAGAGCTTGAGTCAGGATGTGGTTCTTGGAGTTAATACAGATTGCAGTACAACATTCCTCGTCCCAGTTGCTCGGATGATGTCAGTGATGGTTTGACTGGTATCTCTGTTTCAGGACAAAAAGCAAACCCAGCTGAATCATTGTGTTTGTGTTTAGTTCCATATCTGGGAAGTGAGCTAATATCAGTCTTAAGGGTCTAATTTTAGAGCTGTGTGTTTTATTGCAACACCAAGGACACACTTGGTGCTCAGTTACACATACACACACACACACACACACACACACACACACACACAGTCCAGATGTTTCCTATTGGATGGGTCCAGGGAGACCAAAGCCGGCTGGGCTGAAGCTACGACACCAGAAAACTTGGAGGAGCCACAGCGGAGACGATCCACAGAGTGCTGGGTCTGACAAGATTTATATTAAAGCTTCTTCAACAACCAGCTGGGAACTAATTAAAGGAACAGTCTGACATTTTTTATGTTGTCCTGTGTCTCCAGGGTCAGGTGGTTTAGATTGTGTCTCCAGCCCGGGCACCAGGAGAAAATGTTGTCTTCGCACAATTCTGCAAAACACAGATATGTTACATTTGAACATTTCATACGTTTTAATAGTGTCGTATGAGCTGACGTTGTCATCTGGAGGTGGAGGGAGCAGTGGATGGCGTGTCACCTGGGCGAGAGCGCTTACTGAAACATGGCTGCATTTCCTATCAGGACTGTGTGACAAACAGTGGTTGTTATTTTACTGAAACATTGTTTTTCTAGCTGGGATACTGTCGTGAAAAGCTGTTGTATTTTCTACTGAGACACAGCTTTGTTTCCTGCCAAAAAATTGCCGGGATAGTACCTCGAAAAGTGTCTGTTTTAACTGAGACATAGCTGCGTTTCCTGTCAGGATTGTCTGACAAAAAGTGGTTATAATTGTACAGAAAAATTGTGTTTCTAGCTGGGATACTGCAACGAAGAGTGACTGTTTCTTACCAAGACACTGATGTGTTTCTAGCTGAGATAGTGCGATGAAAAAAGGTTGGTTTTTACTGGAACATCACTGTGTTTCCTGCTGGAATAGTGCCATACATACTGAAGTGTTGTTTGTTACAAAGAAATCACTGCATTTCCTGCCAGTATAGCGCCACAAAAAGTGATTGTTATTGAAAAATTGTGTTTCTAGCTGAGATAGTGTGATGAAAAGTGGCTGTTTTTTACCAAGAAATGGCTGCATTTCCTATCAGGATAGTTTGACAAAAAGCGGTTGATTTTTTAACAAATCATTGTGTTTCTAGCCGGGATAGCGGCATTAAAGATACAACTTTGTTTCCTGCTGGGATACATAGAAAGCATTTTTACGGAGACATCGCTGCATTTGCTATCTGGATTTTGCGACAAGAAGTGGCTGTAATTTTACCAAAAAATTGTGTTTCTAGCTGGGATAGTTTGACAAAAAGCGATTGTTTTTTTTTTTAACAAAATATTGTGTTTCCTGCTGGAATAGTGCCATACATAGTGTTGTTTTGTACAAAGAAATCACTGCATTTCCTGCCAGGATGGTGCCACAAAAAGCCACTGTTTCTTACCAAAACATGGCTGCATTTCCTGTTGGGATAGTGCCGCAAAAAGTGATTGTTATTTTACTGAAAAATTGTGTTTCTAGCTGGGATAGTTTGATGAAAAGTGGTTGTTTTTACGAAGACATCATTGTGTTTCCTGTTGGGATAGTTTGACAAAAAGCAGTCGTTTTTTTTAACAAATTGTGTTTCTAGCCAGGATAGTGGCATTAAAAGCTTTTGTTTTTTTCCTACAAAGACACAACCTTGTTTCCTGCTGGGATAGTGCCATAGGAGGCATTTTTACGGAGACATCGCTGCATTTCCTATCGGGATTTTGCAACAAAAAGTGGCTGTAATTTTACCAAAGAATTGTGTTTCTAGCTGGGATAGTGCAATGACAAATGGTTATTTCTTTACTGAGATATTGTTGTGTTTCCTGCCAGGATAGTTTGACAAAAAGCTGTTGTTTTTTAATTAAAAAATCGTGTTTCAAGCTGGGATAATGCAATGAAAAGTTGTTGGGTTTTCTTTCAGAAATACATTGTTTTGTCCCCTGCCAGGATAGTGCCATAGAAAGCAGTTGGGGTTTTTTTTACAGATAAATGGCTGCATTTCCTATCAGGATTTTGCGACAAAAAGTGGTTGTAATTTATTGAAAAATTCTAGCTGGGATAGTGCAATGAGAAGTGGTTGTTTTTTACCAAGACATGGCTGGATTTCGTCCTCGGATAGTGCGACAAAAAGAGATTGTTTTTCACAGAGCCATTGTTGGGTTTCCTGATAGTGCCATGGAAAGCAGATATTTTAACCATGATCTTTCTAACCATATTAAGTATATTTTGTCTTGACCTAACCACATGTAAATGTAAAGTTTCAGTGTATCCGCTTCATAAGAACGTACAGAAATACGAGACAAGTCCAAGATGTGACTGGAGGCAGAGGGAAAGTCTAGCGTTGTTCCATCCAAAGAGAAAAACACACTTTATTTGACTGTTATTGTTTGTTGTGTCTGTATCTTGTCACTCTTTCACTGTGTTGGCATCACTTCTTTATTTTCTGGGATCTCACAAACCTCACTGCTGTACGTTTAAAACTTTAATTCTACCCCTTTAAAACTCTTCCAATATGACATAAAGTATTAAACTGGTGATTTTCCTTTTGACCCAAACTGGACAAAATACAGAAATGAAGTTACTGATGATGGTGATTACTGACATGTTATCGGCAGGTCAGATTTTATCCTGACTTCGTGTCATCCTGTGATCTTGTCCTGTGTCCTCCTCCAGCATGTGTTACACATATTTTCTGTATCCTGTGTATTTTCTGTGGTCTCAGTTTTTTTTTCATCTTAATCCAATAAAGCCGTTTTAAAGAACATAAATCTGATTATCTGATTCAGTTCCTTTTCTTCACTACGTCTCTGACCAAAAATGCAGAATCGATTTCACAGAGTTTATTTTGTTACAGTCAGACTGTAATTTGTTCTCGAGCACCGTGAGACATAATTAAGCGTTATTACAAGCTGCTGTGGATCATTTTATATGTGTTATCTCCCAATCAGAAGGTCGGGCCTCTGGCTCCGTGTTCACTCCATTAGATCATCTCTGAGTCCAGAGCCGAACTGAAAGATGGAGCACGGACTGGTTAAAGGAACAGTCTCACATTTTAGGAAGGTTCAAGAACAAACTGTCTTCTTCTCCATTTTAAGAAGATGGAAATCAGTTACAAATCTGCAACAGCTTTACAATCTTACAGGAAGTGAACACCGGGCTCCTGGGTGAAAGTCGGAGGTTGTTTGATCCATCTACCACCGTACTTGGACTTCAGCCACCTTAATTTGCGTTGTTGTACCGCCACATTTCCCTCTGATGCTGCCAGGCGCCATTAAACAATGACAGCGTCCAGCTGTGTATCATGCCGACGTGAAAGGACAACTTTTTTCGTCTGTGTTTGACGCTGAAAGTCACTGACCAAACGCCAGTATTTGACAATGTTGGAGTGAGGCTGGGTTGGGTCAACATATCCTGGATCACATAAAGGTAAATAGCTGGTCAAAGCATCCACAGCCTGATGCGCCCTCCTCAGCTCCTTCAATTTGTTTCTAAAAACACCTGAATAGACCAGCTCCCTAAGACCCTAACCAGTCTGCAGCAGATCCCAATCTGCAGGGCAGCATAGCTAAAAGCTACTTTTCCCATTTAAAGATGAACTGTGGGAACAGAAAGCGAGAGACTGTTCTTTACTTATCAGAAGAGGGAGGTGGCTCTTTTGATTTTGACCCTACCCGAAGCTACAACATTTTTTCCTTGAGCCTCCCTGACTGACTGATGGAAAATGCATGACCCTCCCTCCTCCATAAATTAGTTATAATATATATTTTTAAAACTTTAAAACCCTTTGAAGTTTGAAAGTTAAAAGTTGAAATCCCGGAGTTGAAGAAAGCCTTGTTTTTTCTCTTATCGTGCACACAGTTTATTTTTTGGTGAAAAAACAGTATCACCATCACTTGTATAGCAATATCACTATTTTAAGCTCAGATCTGGTTATGTTTTGTTTTTTTCTGACAAGCTTGTGTCGCATGATGTGTCCAAGGACAATCTGGAATTTGAATATCCAACAATAATTTCTGTTTTTAGAGTTTCTGACCATGATACATGGCGTCATTGTGGCATGTTTTCTTAAAAAAAAAAAAAAAAAAAAAAGCCAAAAGTTGCGCTTTTATTTAAAAATCAGAAAAATTTAACACTAAGATCTAAAAAATTACCAACGTATAGAAGGCACGTTTGCTTTTAAAATCTGCAGTAAAATAAAAGTACAAAAGTAAGTACAAAATCCAATCATTTAAATTTCTATGCCCCTCCCCTAGGCCAAAATAAAAAACTTTCCCCAGTGCTTAAATATATTATTTGACAGCCTCAGCCTTTATGCACCAACCCCTCCCCCCTCATAAATAACAAACAGTCCCGTAGGGTGAGGGGCCAGGTAATGCATTATGTCAACGGGGTCCTTACAAGGACAGGAGTACATGAATGTGTGTGTATATATTTTAAATCTAACTTTTATTCCATTGTTATTATTATTTAGGGAGACTGGTAATTAAGAATTTCATTGTATGGTGTGTTTTCACTCTGCATATGACGTCTTGAATCCTGAATAAAAAAAACAGTACTGAGGGAACTGATGGAGAACTCAGTGAACCTGACCTGGATCAATACTGGTCACTGCTGCCACCTGCTGCCCTGAACACAGAATGACACTCTCAGCTCCATTTATTATTCATTTTAACAACATAATGTGTCTGAACTCATCATAATTCAAATAAGCAGAGAGTCTGTTCACTCTGGTTTTTACAAATATTACAGATGTAAAGAAACTTTAATGGCATCAGCAAGCACGAATCAATGTAAATTTGGGACTGTATGTAAAGATTCTCAGAAACTCAACACCAACTTAACACAGAACAAGGATCATAAATGCAGTTAAATAATTATTAAAAGTCTTTGATTCAAATTATTTCAGGTTTCTCAGGAGTCCTGGTGTCATGAGATTGATTTGGTGCATAAACGAACTTTTAAAAAACAGTTTTTTGTCCATGTGGAGCTGCTGAAGGTGTGTCATCAGGCGAGCAGTTTCCATATGCTCCCAGTCTTTGTGCTAAGCTACAGTTAACATGTCCTGTGTCTCAGTTTCTGCATCATTCTTTGTTCCATGTGTCTTGTGTATATCTGGGTTAGATATGAACAGAACATCTGTGGTTAGATGGCGTCCTCTTGCTGCACGGAAGTTGCAGGTTCCATCATTTCCTCCGCAGCCTGTTCCTCTGTGTCGCTGATTGTCTGCTCCCTGCTGCAGTGGAACATCTTGTGAACCGTCTGTCTGAACTGTGTGTGGAGGTGGTAGAGGAGCAGGGGGTCGAAGCAGAGGTGGAGCACGCTCAGCAGCAGCGTCGACTCCTTCCCTAGAAACAGCTGCCTCTTGGTGTGGCAATCCGTGATGACTTTGGTCTGGGCCAACGTGTACGGCGTCCTGACGACGTGGTAAGGCACGAAGCAGAGGATATAGGCCAACACCATGGCCGCCAGGCTCACTGCTGCCTGCTGGGCGTCAACCCAGAGTTTGGGGTCTTTGCGGCTGCGCAGGAGTCTTTTGAGAGCCAGGCCGCTGGAGAGGAGCACGACGACAGAGGCGTTGAGGAACAACGCTGTGCAGAGGAAGACGGTCAGGGCGTGCCAGTGGAGGCCGATGTCATTCTTCAGAGATGAACAGCTGAGGTACCGCCGCTCCTGCACAGACAGGTTTCATAGTTACATTTGGCAGATAGATTTTCATTATAAATGATGAAAAGCAGTTGAAGCTGCAGAACTAGAAGTAGCAGCAGTGTAACTGTACGGCTACGACTAGAGCGCCACCTTGGGTCACCTCCAGGTATCAGACATATTTATACACAGACCTGCAGCAATTCAACAGCACCTTACCAGACCTGGAGCAGGAACTGACGCTGAGCAACAGTAGCAGTAGAAGTAGAAGTAGTGGTAGTCATAGCAGTAGTTGCAGCAGTTCTCTAATCAGTAGTACTACAGTACCTGTACTTGCTGTATGGGCAGAGCCATGTTGGGCACCATGATGAGCAGCAGCAGCAGCCAGATGACCACCGACAGCAGCCGGGCGAAGCCGACCTCCTGGAGCCGTAGAGAGCGCAGAGTTTGGCAGTCCTGCAGGAGAAGAGATCCATCAGCCATCAGGAACACCAACACCAAACACATTGTTTCCACGTATAACTTTGGTTCAGAAAAAGTCCAGATATTGTTTCACTAACGGCAAATGTATCCGATCACCTGATGGAAAGTAAGTCAAGGTTCTGGATGCAACAGTTGAGGTAGACACAGATAAAAATGTTGGCACTGAATGTTTCTGCAAACCACGGATATGTTACATGTGCTTTAGTGAGCCATTTCTGTATTTTCTGTGGTAATTGTGCCACCAAAAGCAGGGTTTTTTAACCAGCAATCACTACATTTCCAATGGCGATTGCACCACCGAACTCAGGTCATTTTTAGCCCCGATAGCTGCATTTCCAACAGTGATTGGATAACCAAAACCATTTTTTTTAGGCCGAAACATCTTTTTCTATAAATAAACAAGTGGTTTTTATGCTGAAAACTTGTTTCAGCATATCTTCTACATAATAACATAGGAATGTTACATACCTGTGATTTACAGAAATGTACAATGCCAGCAAGTATTCTGGCAAATGGGTTTGTGCTGTCAAATTTGCACAAATTACATAATTTTTTGTTAATAAATTAATTAATGTTTATCATTATATCTGTAGGACATATCAGACACAATGTTGCAATTCATTAAACTGATAAAATTTGTCGTTTCCATCGAACTTTTACTTTAATTTACTGAAAGTCTGCGTAAGACAATGCAAATGTATACGTTTCTATCCACATCCGCGAGCTGTGGGAGCTAACCCTCCAGTTGGTGCCGTAGACCACGATAGAAGAAGAAGGGGTGATTCAGACAGCTCAAGACAAAGCTGTAACGATGGAAAACCATGCGGAAGAAAACACGATGGAATTATAGTTCTGTTTTTTTATGCTTTAATGCGAGGAAGGCTACAGTCTCCTCATCACTCCACACACATCTGATGTTTTCAGCTCTTCATGCTTCATGTACATCATCATTTCTGTTGCATTGAGTTTTAGCTGAAGCAGCTGACACCTGTAACTGATAAATTGATGATAAAGCTTTCTGTGTTCTCTGCTTAAACGCTTATTTGATGGCTCAATGTGGGTCCAGTTTAAGAGTATGATTCGTTCACGAAGCTGATACATCGTCATCACCTGCCCCTGTGATGAAGATGTGTTCAGCCCTACCTGCAGGTAGCGGTCAGTGATGATGAGGGCCAGAAAGGCGATGGATGCGTAGAGGCTGATGTAGATGGTGACGCCGCTGGCCTGGCAGTGGAACACCATGAGGCTCCACGGTGCCGCCCCAAGGTCCTTCAGGATCTTGAAGGGCAGAGCGAGCAGCAGCAGCAGGTCGGCCACCAGCAGGTTGACCAGGTAAACGCTGGTGCTCTGCTGCATGAACACGTACACAAATATGTTTAAAAACTAAATAATATCTCATATTAAGACAAATATGTTTCTAAACAGCGTCCTACCTTGGCTCTGGGGCTGCGGATGAAGGTCCACAGAGACAGCAGGATTCCAGGCAGACTGATGATGAAGATGAGGATGTAGAGGACGGTGAAGGGTCCCATCTGGTCATTGAGGATGCACTGCTTCCCCTCCTCAGCTCCTACAGAGCTGGAGTTGGAGGAAGAAGGCATCATCAGGAGCTCAACCTGCAGCTGAGAGACAGTAGACAAGTTCAGCAAAGAAAGCTTCAACACCGTTCAGTTGCAGGTCGCAGGTGTGATAATGAGCTCACTGTGTGTGGTGAGAAGTCTGAATGCTCAGCAGCTGCTGTGATTATGGTTTGGATGTCTTGTGTTCAGACTGATGGTCGGGACGGAAACAGGAAGCAGCCTGTAAGAAGGAAAGCCACCTTTAAACACTGTTGTGTGCTTCATCACCTGAGAGACAGGTTATTCTGCCAGAGTTATAAAACTTTTGGTGATTTTACCTGACGGATTTTTGTATTTGTTTTTGTCTGATGCAACATTTGAATCAACTGGTTATTGTCTGTGTCGTTCTTCATCCATCCGCAAGATACCCCGAGACTTTCCCACCTGTCACAACTCCCAGTCATGTCAGACCCAGCCACTCCCTCATGCTCTGCAGTAACCACTTTCACGCCCACATACTCAGCTGCTTCCTGTTTTCCCTCATCAGCCTGGCAGTATACAAACCAGCTCCTGTTCCCTGTCAGATTGTCGATGTTGCCTCATGTCTTGCTTTCTAACTCTCACAACCTGGTGCCTGAACCTTTTATCCTGAAAGCTGTATGTGCCTACCAATCCATGGACTGGTGAACCCTTTTGGATGATGCTGCCCTTTCACCAAACAAATTTCAAGTGATGTAACTGTCACAGACAAATCTCCAATGTTGTAATAAAATCATGACAGTTTTGCCTATGTTGGTGCGCACTCCCGTGACCTTGATGGTTTGGTGTCAGGTCACAGGTAATAAAACTTATTCCAATCAATCTTAAGTCAGTCTTTTTCTTATCGTGACTTTCCAACAAAGTCATCCATCTGTTCATTTGCTTCTGGTCAGGTCAGGGGCAGCAGGCTGAGTACAACACTCCAGACGTGCCTTTTCCCTGCAACGCTTTCCAGCTCCTCCTGAGAGATCCCGAGGCGTTCCCAGGCCAGATGAGATATATAATCCCTCCAGTGTGTTCTGGGTCTGCCCCGGGCCTCCTACCAGTTGGACTTGCCTGGGAAACCCTCTAACAGGAGGCGCCCAGGAGGATCCTGGTAAGACGACCAAACCACATCAGCTGGCCCCTTTCAATGTGAAGGGGCAGCAGCTCTACTCCGAGCTCCCTCTGGATGGGTATTATTCAGGATATCGCTAAAGGTGCGGACACACCAAACTGACATCAAAGAACTAGCGGCGACGAAAGCCAACTGTTGTGTCGTCTACGTCGCCTCACGTCGCCCTGTGTCAGTTGCATTTGAACACACTACACGGACTACATCCGACGGCCAAGTAGCACGTACGTTCTGCGCCTGCGTGAGAGAGAGCGGAGTGAGAGAGTGGTACATCCTGTCAGCCGAGGGGTTTCCTATCTGTGCAGCCGAGCACCGCAGCACCTCCACGGACTATTACATCCAGACGGTCCCGGTGTTTCCTCCTCAGGCTCCACTTCACTCAGCTGCCCGATAAACCCGCTGCTTCTTCCCACTTTAACCTGAATAACAAACCAGGGCTCGGTGCTCCGGTTGGATCCAAACGGAGAGCCGGAGCTAGCTCAGAGACTAGCGGAGGCTAACTGGCTGTGCTTCCCTCCGGTCATGCTGTGGCTAACGCTCCGCTAGCCGCTCCCAGCTAGCTCCGGTTTGTTATTCAGGTTAAAGTGTGAAGAAGCAGCGGGTCTGTGGGGCAGCTGAGTGAAGTGAGGTTTCACTACAGGTAGATTCACTTGCCGATGCCGAAGTGCCGACGGTGTGGCACAGTGTGCAAACTCTAGGCCGACAGACGCTCACCGACGGCGCGACTTTGGTCGACGGCCGACCGTCAGCTTGGTGTGTCAGGGCCTTAAGGCTGAGCCCAGCTACCGCCCAGTTGTCGCTTGTATCTGCGATCTCATTCTTTGTGTCACTATCTTAAGCTCATGACCATAGGTGAGGGTTGTGTACTTTCCCCTCACTGGTGAACAAGGCCCGCAGATGCTTCAACTCCTTTACTTGGGGCAGTAACTCTCTCCCAACCCAGTGGGGGGAAGATCAAACTGCACCAAACCCTGGTTCAGATTTATTTAAATGAAGTATCGAAAGAAAACTCAAATGCAGTTATCAGGCGTCACATCAAGCTTTTAATGGAGAATTGATGCAATGGACCAAATTTAAAAACTAAAATATTAAATAAGATAAAGAAATAAAAAGGAATGTCTAGCAAAAAAGGACCTCTTCCATGTGAGTGTTGTAACGGAGCAGGAGGTGACAGACAGGTAGCTGAGCCACCGCCGCACAGGATGCAAGTAAACTCTGTGGTCACATATCAACCTGCCTGCAGCAGGAAGTCGTGAATCAGGAAACTTTCAGCCAGACACACAAAGCAGCTTCTTTCCAACTTTTGTACAATACTCACAGCTGCTTTATTCTGTTGTAACGACCAATACATGTATCAACAGGCGAAGCTTCTCCTCAATCAACCAGCTGATTAAAGGACTAATTCTTTCAGTTGTGCTTTTATTATTTTACAGTTTGCCTGCAAAGATTTTAATTTGTAAAGTAACTAAAGCTGTCGGATAAATGTTGTGGATTAGACAGTGGTATGAAAAGAAAAGACTCAAGCACCTCAAATTAGTGAATATATTCAAAGACATAAATTTCACCATCAGACACACTCAACAGAGAAGTAACCTGCAGTCTCTGCACCAGAAGTGAAAACCTCATTCAAAACCACACTGACATTAACAGTAATGTAGATTATTAAAGCTCAGCGCTGCAACATGATCTGCTCAACAGTATGTATGTGTGTGTGTGTATGTGTGCATGTGTGCGTGTGTGCAGGCAGGGATGGTACTTTTTATCAAAGTAACATAATATTCTTGTTTACTTCTGTTATTAGTCACATTTAACAGACAACATGTCACAGACAGCCCACAGACAGTCGGGGGTTAAATGTCATCAGATGTAAAATCTTTAAAAACACACATACATAAATAGTTTTATCAGTAGTTTCCTCAAACAGCTGCTCACTGAAGTTTTTAACAGACAACACAGGAACTTTGTCGGGGACTATTTTCAGCAGCGGATTGATCCATGTTTGCATCATTTGTGGCAGCAGGACGGTGTATTTGGCATTAAGTCGAAATAAACTACTATGTGTGTGTTCATGGTGATGAAGGAAGATGTCACCCAGTGATACACCACCTGGGTGCCCAGTGGCTCATTGGGTGGAGCAGGTGTCCTTACCGCAGTGACCACAGGCTTGATTTCAATCTGCGGCCCTTTGCTGCATGTCCGGCTTTCATAGTTATACTGTGTAGCATTACCCGATTAAGACATGTGAGATATGCTGATATTATCTGGGGTTTTTTTTGGACATTTCAGAATATGCGTCTCAGTTGGGGTTTTTCTCGCAGTCTGTGACACGCAGCCTCTTGCCTGTTAACCGTCAGCTCTGTGCATTGTAAACACACCAACTAGCCCAACAGTTTGAAGGCTGGGGTAAAGATACATGCCCAATAGGAAAGGCTGTATGTCTGGTCGGAAGGAGAAACACACCTACGTTTAAATATTATGAAAGACGGTTGAAAGGTTTTCGAATACGCCCAAGTATCGCAACATACCTTTTGAAGAAGGTGGTTGACGGAGTAAAACAGGGAGGCTGTGTTGCGTTCATGGCCAACCAAATGGCCAGAATAAATGTTATATTACATTTGTTCATTATTATGTGATGGGTATGATAAAAACTTTTGCTGAAACTTAACGTTTCAACAATGCTGTGGTTAGGGTCAAAGTCTCCTCATACAGTGGTTCATATGATATTCTATTAGCGCCCCACAATGACGAAATGTTGTTAACGTCCTGAGCTGTGTAGTTAAGGTAAAGTTAAGGAGGTTAGGTTTAGGCTATTAAAGATACTATGGAAGAAGTAACATGGCAAGTCCACCACCATAAGTTAACTTTGAAAAAATTGTTTTCTGACGCAAAGGAGCAAAATGGCCAAAATAAATGTTGGCGTTATATGTTTCTGTGAGCTACGGCTACATTACATTTGTACGTTATTTTGTAATGGATATGTTGAAACTTCATATTTAAACTTTACATTTCAACAATGCTGTGGTCAACGTGTAGTTATGTTCAACATGTCCTCACTCAACAGTTCATATGATATCCTACGACTTTAGCCGCCCGCATCACAACCCCCGTGAAATGACTTGTTTCACCATTAGTATTTAATCCATTCAGTCCAATAACATTCGGTAAGTCTATAAGAGCTGCAAGATTAAATCTTTTTTTTACAGTTCTGTATTCCGTTCCAGTGATGTGGAAGCAGCACCGATCATCTAGGTAATTTCATACTGCCACTGAGTAACTTTCATAAGAATGAACAGGGTCCTGCCTCCAGTGCTGTATCTAGGGGCACTTCCGGTCTAACGTAAAGTTACGTAGTTAAGGTAGCGTTACTGTGATTAAGTTTAAGAAAAGAAATATGGCAAGAGTTTACCTAAAAAATGACTCAGAGTTCACACAGTTCCAAACGTGTCTCAAAGGAAAAGTCCCAGGGGAAATCCACCACCTCAACCTGCCTCCCTTCAAGACCACTCGGGACTGCCTCCTTGTTTACTCCCGTCAGCGCTTTGTTCACATGATCACAGCCTTTCAAAATACATGGGATACGTACGAATTTGGGTGTGTTACTTTTTTGTAGGAAAATGTACGAACAGTTTATGAGAACAGCCTAGGTTAGGTTCAACATATCTTCATACAGTGGTTCTCATGATATCCAAGGAATTAGTGCCCTTTATGTAACGTTACTGTGGTTGGGTTTAGGAAAAGAAACATGGCAAGGGTGTACCTAAGAATGACTCAGAGTTCACTCAGTTCCAAACACTCTGGACTGCTTCCCTGTTTACACCCATCAGTGCATTGATAATGGGATACCAGCCTTTCGAAACATGTCGGATATGTACGAATTTGGGTGCATTACTTGTCGTCCGAAAATGTACGAACAGTTTATAAAAACAGTTTGCGTTAGGTTCAACGTATCCTCACACAATGGTTTTTATGATATCCTAAGAATTAGCACCCCACAGATGACAGTCAGTACGTTTACATGCACAGTTTAATTCCACTTTTAATCGGAATGAAAGGCCATTCCGATTAAAAGTGGTCATGTAAACGGTCATTCCGATTGAAAATTAAATCCGGTTAAAGGGGGTGGTTTATTCTGTTTGTCATTCCAAATGAAAGAATTTTGTGTGCATGTATACACTCATTCCTCTTTAAGCTCATTCCGGTCTTTGTGCGCATGCTCGTTTCCTTGCCCTTCTGGTGCGATGACGTATATAGTGCGCATAGCAACGGGCTGAGATAGAGCAGTCAGACTCGTTGCACTCACCGGTTTCCATTCGCCACAGCACGGTCTTCTATCTCCCTTCTTCGACCTTCTACCTCCCTTCTCCTCCTCAACAGACGAAGCATTAGCAGAACAAGGTTGTTGTCGTACTGCTGCTTCAAGAATATAAGCAAAACAAGCCTGAAAAAGGCACTTAGAACGGCGTCGTCAAGCATCTTGTTATCTGGTGCGAGGACTTCAGTGTTTTCTTCCGGTAGACGTAAACACGTAACATCCGCCCCGCCCCCTATCCAATCAGAAACCTTCCCTGCCCCAAACCTTGCGCAGACCCGAATAAAGGCGATTAAACGGTTTGGGAAAAGTAACATGGTGAGGATGAACCTTAAAATAACTCAATATTCACAGGGTTCTGAATAACAGCCTCCAGGGGGGAAGTCCTGTGATTTGTGAACCATCCACTACCACAGCCTGCCTCCTGATGAGGCCTGCTTCCTTCTTTACTCCCAGCAATGTATTGGTCACATGATCGCAGCTTTCCAGAGTATATGCACAGATTACTGGCCCATGATTACGTGGGATATGTGCGAAATTTGGTGTGTTACTTTTCATAGGAAAATGTTTGAACATGTTATGAGAACAGCCCGGTTTAGGCATAAAAAATACTTGGTTATCAGTCAGAAAAGATGTTTGGGTTTAAAAATACCTGCTTTTTCATAGCTCCACCCCTGCTAGGAAAAGAGCTACAGGTCATGAAATCACAACTGGTTTTGTTTTTTGTTGGTCTCTAACAGTGGTCGGCAGTTTGGCAGATGCCGTCCTCCATCTACCATCCTCTCCACCTTCTGATGACAGCTACTGCTCATATACTACGTCACTTTGGAAACGCTGATATGTTACGTCTGAAACTGACAAATGTGATGTATTCGTGGTTTATAGAAACGTACGATGGCAACATTTTCCTCTGGTGACTAGGCTGTTGTTGATGATTACAAAAAAAATTCAAAAGAGAAGTTAAATGTGACTCCCAAGATGCATTTCAGTCATTAACATCCAAACATAAAGCTTAATGACTGGAAACTAAATCTCAGTGTCGAGAAAACAGCTGAAGGTGATTTACTCTTTAAATCAGTTTTGGATGAATTTGTCCATTGTGGCGAGGACATCCTTCAAACTCTCAGTCAAGCTCTTTCATTAAAACGTCTTCTTATTTCTGTTACTGTGAATCATCCGCGTGAGACTGAGTGAAGGAGGAACCCGCATCACGTCTGATATTTAACGTGGTTTGATCATCAGACTGTGAACGTTAAAAATAAATCTAAATGAGCCCTTACCTTCTGTGTTGAGTTATCCAGTCCTCTCAAAGGTCCTCAGACCACGTGTTGGATCCCCTGAGGACTGACCAGGACTCTGGGTTCCCCCCACACAGGTCCTCAGGGTGATTCAGTGTGTTGGTGCAGATCATGTGCTCGAGGCTGCAGACGGATGGAAGGTGTTTTCCCTGCCTGTTAGAAGTACGTCAGTCTGATCACAGGCCACACCTCCCTGCAACACACAAACACACACACACACACACATACAGTCAGCTGTCAAAGGGCTTTACAGCAGTTGGGTGATGATTAACGTGAGTTTCAAAATGATTATGGACCTTTTCAGTGGCACACAGGCAGAGGAGGAACTGACACAGATGACTAAAAAACAGTTCTGCTTCATCTCATATTTACAGATAACGCTCACACTTTAAAGACAGTGTGTGAGGGTGTGAGCGAGAAGAGAAAATGAGACGTCATATAGACTTATACGATTATAGATACTGGTTTCGTAGCCTCTTTTTTTTTACAGCAGAGATCCTGAGTATCTCAGAGAACACTACCCTCCATCAGGAGTGTTTGACAGATGGTTGAACAGCACTCTAAACCTCCTCCCTCCACACCTTTCACACGTGTCAGCAGAGGTCTGTGCCGACAATTCAGCCTGTTCTCACTCCAAAGTCATCATCAAATACTTCTGTTTGTCAGTGACTGTCAAGTTTGAAATGCTGCCAGTGACAACATGACATAAGGAGCCGGGAGGGGTGGTCCAACAAAGACCGGACTTTCACCTGGGATGTGTTCGCAGGAAATATTGTAGGACATTTAAGCAGCAAAACTAAAAACTTGTCAGGGTTTCAGCTTTGCATCTCCTTTGCATTTCCTGTTTGTTTTCAGTCTGTCTCTGTGTGTCCGCTGGGTGTGGCCTCCTGGTTCCCTCCTCCTGCCGATCCTCCTGAGTGCCAGCAGCAGCTGAACCTCATCAACAATCAAACCACTGCAGTATAAAACCCAGCTCAGACATCCAGACTCTGTCAGATTGTTCAATCTCCTCTGCAGTTCACCACACCAGCCTCAAACATCACACATTAAAACCAAACATTACCTCATGGAGGCTAGAAGAACTACTAAGTTGATTTTAGAAGATAAGATTTTTAGAAACTTTGAATCAGAAATTGTATTTAATCATAAATACTTAAAGAAAAAATACACAAAATGTTGGACACCTGGCCATTAAAATGTAACGTGTAATACACCTCTGAGACCCTGTGTCCTCATGTGAGGACATTACATTTTGGGTTTACTTGACCTTATACTTCATTCTACTGAACTTAGATTTGTTGTGTTCATTCATGGACACTTTTTTTGCACCATCTAGTGGCAGTATGAGCACAATACACTAACCCAGGTAAAAACAAGACGGCAGCGATGTCTGCCAAGTCAGTCTGCAGACGACCCCGACACAAAAGTGGACATGGTCCAAAACCTGATCACATTTTATGGTTGAATCTTGTTTATTAATGATTAATAATGTTTGTAGATAGATATGGCAACTAATTTGACCAATTTTAGCAAAAGTAACAAAATAAGACACTGTTACTTAGGAAGTACTCGTTTGAGGACATTGGGACTTTATTATCATCTTGTTTGAGGACATTGGGACAATATTATCATCTTGTTTGAGGACATTGGGACTTTATTATCGTCTCCTTTGGGGACATCGGGACATTATTATCGTTGACAATATCTAGATTTTTATACTTGTCCAACACATTCTCACTCCAACCTCGTCACATATTGACGTTTTGGTCATGGACTTTCCACGTCCACATGTGATGTGCAAGGCACCCTGGGTGTGTTGGTTGTTGATGTTCTGGGACGCCGTGTCAAGTCCTCTTTCAAGGTACACTTCCATTTTCACGGGAAATTTCACATTTACATACAGTCTCTTTCCAAAATAAACGCACTACATCGGTACAACACCACAAAATTACATTTTTTTACCTTCAACAATGAGAACGTGGTTAGCTTTAGGAAAAATGAACAGGGTTTGGCTTTAGAACCTTACGGGATGCGAACACTGCTCTCTCAGTTGAAATTTGGTGTTTGTTGGACCCATCCACCACTCCTCCTGCCCGCCCCACTTGGACTTGCCGCCTTAATTTTCGTCCTTGTTGGTTTCTGACGCCACAAGTCACTGCCCAAGCACTAGATTTCGACAACTTCAGAGTGAGACCATGCTCACTTATCGGGTCCTACTGATCCCAAATAGGAGAAATTAAAAATGCATACCAAACAAAATTTTCTGACTCAGGAGGACATGGAGCAGAGAGAACAAAATTAACAATCTATTGACAATAAATTTTATTTTTGACGTTTCTTCTCGCTACACCACTAACTTTTATTTCAATGCGAACTGAATAGAACACGATTGTCACACACATGCACGAGGAGGTGGAGGAGACAGTGAAAACATCCTGAGTTTTACAAGCAGCATCTATTGTCCATTGTCTTACAGTTCAACATAACTGATGAACCACATTTCATCACAATCCATCCAATAGGTGTTGAGATATTTCAGTCACTGACCGACTGAACAAAGCCAGGAGCCACCAACAATACAAAACATTAATTAATTTTTCCAAGTTACAACTTCTATCCTATTCAGAAATGACACATCATCTTATTTTTTTTATTAAAATATACAATTAACAGAAAGTAAATATAAATATAACAAGTTAATATATTGTACAGGAAACACGACTCCAAACCAGAGAGCAGTTTGTGAGCAGGTTGCAGCTCAGATGCCTCTGCGCAAGTTCAGATCTCAAAGATTAATAAACCAGCAGTTTCAAACTAAAACACTAACCACTTGTGTAAGTATGAATGTGTCTCATAAACCACAATTTTGAGATTAGAGAGACTTTAGTTCCAAAATTCAGTTTAACAGCTCCACCTTAGAGAGGAATTATTGTGCAAGAAAATGTTCTGCAGTCGTCAGAAACAGGACGCACAAACAACCTGCCTGATGCAACAACACTGAGACCAACACAATTTCTGTTGGAGGAAATGTTAAACTGTTAATGATGACGAGTCACTTCCTACATACCTATATATATATATATATTTTTTTTTTTTGGACTTCCTCTTTAAAGTTAATTTACGCATTTGTGTGACTGTTGGCTTCACAGGACTTTATTTTGTCATGAAACTCACATGCAACAACCATGTTGAAAGAATTATTGGTAACAGTTCCTCCTGACCGCACAATCTGTTTGCCACCGTCATGAGTTCTGCAGACATTAACATGTAGTTCTCCTTTGGGTCTTAACAGGTAAAAATATAATGTTTTAACACGTCAAATGTGCATTAAAGCAACACTTAACTTTCTGGAAATGTTATGCTTTTTTTTGTTTAGGTTAAAATGCTATTAATAAGCTGATGCTATTAATAAGCTGTCTGTCTTCCCCATGTGGAGGCCTCCCATTGACGTAACCGCTCGTGTAACATGAGTCTGTGAGACAACAAATAGGCTAGTAACAGGGACGCTTGTGGGTATAAACTTTTCTCCGTAACAATGGCAGACAAATACGGACCACTGCTTCCACCTCCAGCCGCTCCAACGGGGAAATCAGTTGGCAAAAGAAAGAATATAGCAGAAAAAGCTAACACTATAAGAGAGAACTCGAAGCTGCAAGAGCCAAAACTCGGGTCAACATTGGCTCTGCCTTCGAGCAATGGCGAAGACTGATGCAGCTTCATCCTGAGCTAAAAAGGGACGAGATGGTCGCAGAGTTTCTGCTGGACAGGTATGTTTAGTTCACTCTAATGTAACATAGGCTATAACGTTATATATGACAACACAGCATCCAGTTGCTAACGTTAGCCTACTGTAGCGTAGCCTCTGAAACATTAACGTTATCTTCCTTGTACGTTTCCACTTACTAGTAACGTTAACGCTACTATCTAACGTTAGCACTGTAACCTTATTTTAAAACTCATCAGTCATCACTGACTCCGGTTGAGTTTTAAAACCCAGGGTTGCGTTTGACTGTCTTGGTTGTAACATTACACTCACTCTCCTCTTCCGTGTATCTAACGTTACCTTGCCGACGCCTACGTATATTAAAGATGTAATGAGGATGTAATGGAGGAGGGGGGAGTAGGCCTTTGGAGGGAGGTGGACTTGTGGATGTTCAAATTTTTTCTAAGTGCTGTGTGAAATGCAAGAAAGGTAAGAGTAGCTTTAAGATGACAGAAAATGTCCTGTTAACAAGAACATTTCTGACCTCTTAAGACGCTTCTATGCCATTGGTTGGCGTCAGTACGCCCCTTTTTAACGTAGCAACTGTGTTGGCCAGCGTGGGCTCTTGTTAGTAGGTAGTTCTGGCTACGTACCTATCACCTGTCCTCTACGCAACTTCACCTTAGCATTTAGGACAGTCCATTTTGCGTGGGTCTTGAACTCATGGTGACTGAAGACAGTGAATGTCCTCTGGAAGCTTTTTAAGCCACTGTGGCCGTAACGTACCACAGCCTGTGTGTTTTCATCCAGTGTAAATTATATAGAAATTCTTCTTAAACACAAACGTGGTGTTTTATTCAGGAAAATTGAGCTTTGTTTCCACCTTATTCCTGGCTCCCATGATACCTTGCATTTTCCTATGGTAGCAGTCTAGAACAGTATGCTAACGGTATGCTAGTCCTCTTTTCTGGAGTGACCATAGATATATATACATAGATGCCGCACCCTGGCTTGTGGGATGCGTCAATACCGCCGCCATCTTGCCTAGGTGCACTGACCGGTTCAGACCCGTGTCAGACTCGGCAAAAATGCCACATTTTTGTACGAACGACAGAAGTGTTAAAACCAAGCAGAAGGGAATAACATTCCACAGGTAAGAAGTTGTTTTACAATATTTTACTGTTACGAACATGTTTAATGAGATATATATCTCAAAAAGTGATCCTTCTTTTAAGCTAATCAGGTAAAGTAACTGTCCTGATCTGGTCCTAATGCCAAATTAAGCTAACGCTATGTCACACAACTTAAAGAAAAAAGGTTAACATTTATATAATAACGTTATTACTTATAAAATTATGATGCTTTGTCAAACAGCTATGTCGGTGTATGTGTTATTCCAAGTTGTCAACTATCTGTTTCATGGCACCAACGTGACATAACGCAGTATAACGTTAGTATTTAACTTGTGGCCTGAATTGTAACTACAAATTATGTGGAACTGCGTTTTTTTCTGACACACTTATTTTGTGTGTAGTTTCCCAAAAAACACAGATAGGAGACGGGCATGGGTAGCAGCAGTGAGGAGAAAGGACTTTGTCCCGAGTGACTCCTCAGTCATCTGCAGCTGTCACTTCAGACCTGAGGACTTCGATAGGACTGGGCAGACTGTCCGTTTAAGGGACGGAGTGACTCCCTCTGTATTATATTTTTGTAAATATGACCTAATAATGTTCTGTGTCCAGGCTCCCATGAGCACTGTGGTGTTATACGTATGAGATTAAAGCAAAATTTTGTGTAAACATGCAGCTCTAAGTCATTTATTTTCACTTGTACAAAACCAACATTTGTTAATCAGAATGTGTAACTACACTGCAGCTCGGCACAACCCTGCTGATACACTATTTTTTGCACATTGTGTGAAATGTGAATAAAAATTTATAGTCAAAATTAATAATTAAATGACATTTAAGTTTAAATGTGTTGTAGAACTATTACTGTTACTTTATCTACATAAGATCAAATATTTTGGTATGAATATCTGCATTTTTTATTTAACCAAGTATCCTGTATCATAACTTCATGTCTGACAATTTTAACAAACCAAACCGTATGAAAATCGGTTGAGAATTCAGCGAGTAATGATGATTTTAATCATAAATAATCTCCTGCCTCAATAGCCATACATGCATTAGGCAGCGCGGCTCCACCTGGGCAAGATGGCGGCCGCGTTGATGCACGCTCCAATGAGGAGCACCGTTGAATGCGGCCTCTAAGTATATATATCTATGTGGAGTGATTAGGAAATAAAACGTGGAACACAGCGCCTGTTATAGCTAAGACGGTATAATGTGATCATGTTGTCTCTGACAGCCGTCTCAAAGCATTTGTTGTTTTCCTTTTTAACCAAGCGTATTAGCAATTAGCTTGCCTTGCTCCGTTAGCATAATGTTAAATTCAACACAGCCCAAGCTAGCTAATGGTAAACATCTGCTCCTTCTAAAACATGATTTATGATTTCTTACAACTCATAAACAGACAATAACACATGAGGCAAACAGTTTGCATAATTCAGTGTTAATTTTAGCTCCATATAAAGTGAATAAACGTGATGTTTACCAGCTAACACTCCGCTCATCTGCCTTAATGACAGTTCACACATTTTTATCACCGCTGGCTTATTAAATCTGAGTTCTGCCGTGTGAAACATGACACTGAATTCAGCAGCAGCCCTATTATCAGTTATATGTAGAAGTGGTAACACAAATAATTTTATATATTATTTTATATAAGAATTATTGCACATCAGTAACACACTCAGAATAGATTGCTAAACATGATGTCCAGTGTACTCTAATTTAATTCTACCATCTAGTGGACACAATGTACACCGAATACTATTTAATCTGGAATATCCAAAATATATTGCGCATGTACTGTGGCATTCAAAAGTTTGGGCCCCCCTGGTCAAAATTTCGTTTACTGTGAGTAGTAATTAAGTAAGTAGAAGATGAAGAGACATGACGTTAAAGATGACACATTTCTTCAATATTTTAAGCAAGATTACTTTTTAATTTCAGTTTTTACAGAAAAAAAGGAAAAGGACCTGAAGCAAAACTTTGGGCACCCTGCATGGTCAGTGCTCAGTAGCGCCCTCTTTGGCAGGTACCACAGCTTCTAAACACTTTGTGTATCCAGCTCAGAGTCTTTCAGTTCTTGTTTGGAGGATTTTCAGCCATTCTTCCTGCAAAAGGCTTCTAGCTCTGTGAGATTCTTGGGCCGTCTTCATGCTCTGCTCGTTGAGCTCTATCCACAGATGTTTAATGATGTTTAGGTCGGGGGACTGTGAGGGGCGTGGCCAAACCTTCAGCTGGCTCCTCTTGAGGTCGTCCATTGTGAATCTGGAGGTGTGTTTAGGATCATTGTCCTGTTGTAGAAGCCATCCTCTCTTCATCTGCAGCTTTTTTACAGATGCTGTGATGTCTGGAATTTAACTGAATCCATTCTTCCCTCTACCTGTGAAATGTTCCCCGTGCCACTGGCTGCAACACAAGCCCAAAGCATCATCCATCCACCCCCGTGTTTAACAGTTTGTTCTCCAAACATACCTTTGCTCATTGTGTCCAGAAAGTTCTGTTTTACCTTCATCAGTCCACAGGACTTGTTTCCAAAAAGCATCAGGCTTGTTCAGATGTTCCTTTGCAAACTTGTGAGGCTGAATGTTGTGGTGAGGACACAGGAAAGGTTTTCTTCTGATGACTCTTCCATGAAGCTCATATTTGTCCAGGTGTGTCTGCACAGTAGAACAGTGCACCACCACTCCAGAGTCTGAGAAATCTTCCTGCAGGTCTTTTGCAGCCTTTCTAACAATCCTACGAGCAGCTCTCTCACAAAGTTTTCAGCTTGACCTCCACAGTTCCTGTTAACTGCCATTTCTTACTGACATGACCAACAGCAGAGGAAACAGCTCCCTGAAAACACTTTGCTATCTTCTTCTAGTCTTCATCAGGTCTTTTAGTGTTCAGAGTGCTAGGCAGCTGTTTAGAGGAGCCCATGGCTGCTGATTGTTGGGACAAGCTTTCAGGAGTCAGAGTCTTTATAAAGCTTTGAAATGAGCATCATCTGGCCTTTGCTAACGATGACTGTGAACAAGCCAGAGCCCTAACAAGCTCATTAAGGTCTGAGACCCTGGGAGAAGTTGTCTGAGAGCTCGGGGTGCCCAGACCTTTGCATGGTGCTACTCTCCTTTTTTACTCTAAAATTGTACAAAGCAAAATTAAAACACTGATCTTGCTTAAAATGGTGAAAAACATGTTTCATCTGTCACTTCATGCCTTTTGGAGATCAGTTCATCTTCTTCTTACTTAACTATTCACAGTAAATGAAATTTTGACCACGGGTGGCAAACTTTTGCATGCTATTGTAAACATAGTCAGTGTAACAGATATTTTGCAGAAGCAGTGCAGCATTTATAGATTAAAATATGAGGGGTAGCTTGACCTCATTATGTTTTGTTTTCCTCTAAAGGAACAGAGCACACTTCTGACAACACCCAGCCAGTGATGCTGTCTGTGGTTAGATAATAAAGAGACTTAAACTTTCAACCAGAGAAGACAGAGAGCCACACACAGCACTAATTTAACACCCTGCAAATGCAGCTACAAACAGAATTATACTTTTCTCATGTTGAAGACAAGCTGGTGTTGTTTTACTGAATTTAAGAGTTGATGAATGTTGTTTAGAAATTTCTCAGTTTCTTGTCCTTTAGTTTACTGATATCATTTCTCTCTGAGGTCTTCCAACCTTCCAAAGAGGCAGCCATGCTAAAGTGCACGAGTAAATCAGCTGAAAGGCTCCACTTTAACCAGCAGATGTTGGTCTTTGTATGAATTTGCAGTTGTAATGTGAATGTTGGTTATTTAACAACACAAGGCACAAGTGTTTGTGTCTTTAAGCTAGAGCACGCCGGGCTGTTTCGTTGTCACAGTGAGTGACATCTTCCTGTTGATTTTGAGGGTGCTCATCCGCCCATCGCTGCTCCTCCTTTCAGTGTTTGCACCTTGTGTTGCAGCCTGTGTGATGCTGAACAGCCTCCTCGGGCTCAGATGCGCCCGGAAGGCTTTGCAGAAGATGAAATAGATAAGTGGGTCCAGGCAGACGTTGAGAATTGACAACATGATGGTCAGCTCCTTCAGGTAGTAGAACACCTGCCTTAATGAGCACTGACGCCTCAGGAAGGCGTAGGGAAGGCGCACCAGGTGGTACGGGACGAAGCAAAGGCAGAAGAGGCTGACCAGCACCAACATGTTCCTGCGTGATTTGGAGAGTTTCTTGGAGTTGGAGGATGCCGGCTGCCTGTGCTGGGCCAGCGACAGCCTGCAGGAGGTGCCATAGTAGAAGAAGATCAGGGAGATGAGGACAAGCAAGAAGATGGCGGCGGAGCAGGTGTGGATGATTTTGTAGAACAGGCTGAGCTGCTCGCTGTGCAGGACGTCACAGGTCACTATGTCAGAGACGGAGGACAATGATTCCTTGGTGAGGAGTGACACGATGACATAGGCGCTTGAGGTGGCCAAAAGGAAAACCCAGGTCAGCGTGGAGATGATGTGAGCGGCTCGCACCGTCTGCAGGATGTGATTTCCTAAAGGATGGACGATCTTTAGATACCTGGAGAGAGGAGAGGCAGGTAGATGAGTCATAGCCAACACTGTCGACACACGACCTTATGACTTGAAAAAATGTTGGCATCGTACATTTCTACAAACTTAGCAACGCCTATGACTGGGGGCTAAAAAGCTGCTAGAAACAGCCACAAGTTGCTTAAAAAAACATATTTCAAGGCTAAAAAAACACTGAAAAAAGCCACTGGTCCCTAAAAAACACCCATGTCTGTTGCCTGAAATGCTGCAGGAAAAAGAGCAAAAGGTCGTTAAAAAAAGGGCTTATAAGCTGCTGGAAAAACAGTGACATTGGGGGCCTAAGAAGCTGCTAAAAATAGCATTTGAGGGCTTAGAAGCTGCTGGAAAAACAACAACGTGTCTCAAAAAAACAAAAACCTACGTTTGGGGACTAACAAACTTCTGGAAAAGACAGGGACCTTGTTAAAAAACATCCCTGTTTGGGGGCTAAAAAGCTACTGGAAAACAGTGACATTGGCGGCCTAAGAAGCTGTAGGAAAAGAGCAACAGGTTGCTAAAAATCGCCCACACTTGGGGGCAAACAACCTGCTAGAAAGCACAATTTATTTTTAAAAAGGAGATGAAAAAGAGCCTTGGGTCACTAAAAATCACTGATGTCTGTTGCCCAAAAATCCGCTGTTAAAAAAAAGCACTGTGTGGGGACTAAAAAGCTGCTAGAAAGAGCCACAAGTTGCAACAAAACTAAAAACACGTTTGAGGAGGTAAAAGCCGCTGGAAAAAAGGGCCATGGGTTGCTAATCAACACCCAAGTTTGGGGGCTAACACACTGCTGGGAAAAGAGCCACAGGGCCCTAAAAAACACCCATGTTTGTTGCCTAAAAAGCTGCTGGAAAAACAGTGACGGGTGCATTAAAAACACCCACTTTTAGGGGCCAAAATCCTGCAGGGCAAACAGTGACAGGTCCCTAAAAACACCCGTGTTTGGGGGCCAGAAAGCTGCTGGAAAAAAAGCAATGACTTGCTAAAAACCAACCGGTTTTGTTGTTTGTCGGTCTTGGCAGGCATCTCGCCTTGGTCACACACCATCCACCGTCCCCTCCCCCTCACGATGACAAAGTCAGCTCATAAACTGCGTCACTTTAAAAAGGATTATGATGTTTCTCCTTGTGACAGAGCTGCACCAGACAAAAGGTCAAGATACAATTTTGCAAAACCCACAATTATGATTACTGATATTTTTTATGTCTAGTGCCCAAAACGTTAAAATGCATTAAAAGAGGCTTTATTTATCAAATAACACAGGACTGTTGGAATTCAGCCTTAGCATACCCATCCTTTTTAGACATCACACACAAGTGCTGTTTCTTCCACACTATCTGCACATGCTTATTAGGGTGTGTATAAATGTGCAGAAAGACCGCACTATCCTCCACACCACTTCCTGCACTGATGTTAAATGTTTTGCACAAACTGGTGCATCGGTTAAGTCTGCGGTACTGAATTTGTTTTTTGACATGGGACACTGAGTTCATGATATGGTTGATGTGCAAATTCACATGAGGTCAAGTTTACTCAACACCTGAGGGCAAAAGCAGACACAGCCTTGTTTCCTTTCTCTGAAACACTAAATGGTTCTGAGTTTTCTGCATCTTACGAAACAAGAAAACAGCCGATAGAAGTGGTGTGGTGGTGTGTTTACGTATGTGCTGATAGACGTGTAGTCGAGTTTAGAAGCTGCTTTAATGCAACATGACATCTATGATGTGGTCGGAAGGACAGCTCTGAAGCCAGATGTTGTGAAATAGTTACTGCGATCAGACTGATGTGATCTACAGACAGGCAGCCATCAGTTAAGGAATCAGGCTGTCTGAGGGGGCATGGGGGAAATAAGTAAACAAGAAACCACCTCTATGTGGTGGGTTAAGTTTCTAGCCCAGGTTAGAAGGGGCATTCAGGAGGGAACCAAGAGTTGGTGTTTTCAGGAAACCAGCATTGTACAGTGTTTGTACCACCAAATGTGGGCGTGTTAAACTAATCTGTCACTGCAGTTTTTAGCAAAATGTCACCACATTTCCAGTGGCATTTTTGCATTTGGCTTTTTTTTTTTTTAGCAACCTGTCACTACATCTCGAGCAGCATTTGTGCCCCGGAAGGTGGGTGGGGTTTTTTTCCACAACTCATCCCTGTATTTCTAGGGGTGTTTCTGTTTTTACTGATCTGTCACTGCAGTTCCAGATGTATTTGTGTCATCAAATGTGGGTTTTTTTTTTCAGCAACCTGTCACACCTGTCTTGTGCCCTCGAGGGTGGGCATTTTTTTAATGACCTGTCACTGTATTTCCAGCAGTGTTTCTACAACCAAATGTGTTCGTTTTTTACTGATCAGTCACTGCAATTCCGGTGGCATTTGTGCCACCAAATGTGGGCTTTTTTTAGTGAACCAACACTGTGTTTCCAGTGTCATTTTTGCCATTGAACCCAATGCCTTTCAGTGAAATATCACTACATTTCCAGCAGTAATTGTTCCCCCTCAGGTGGGCATCTAATAATGATCTCTCACTGCCTGTCCAGCAGCGTTTCTGCCACCAAACATGGGTGTTGTTTACTGATCTGTCGCTGCAATCCCAGTGACATTTGCATCACAAAAAATGGCCATTTTTTAGTGAACCATCACTGTGTTTCCAGCAGCGTTTTTGTTAAACAAGAAGATCTTTCAAGATTTTTACCTCCAACTCAACTTTGATCAAACTAAAACTACAGGTTGCTCAGTCAAAACATCTTCTCAGTACTGCAGCACATCTGTCTGTATTAGAAAACCACATCCTGATGCTTTTTAAGCATAAATCTCACATCCTTATAATGAGAAGAAAACCTGTTCAGAGCAGCAGTTGAGGCCGCATATTTATAGTCATAGTACAAAACTGTTGAATTCAGTCTGCTAGTTCACTTCATCTTTTAATCTTATCTTGTCTCACACCTTCATGCAGAAGTGACACTCGGAGGTATTTTTACTTACTGCCGACATTAACTAAAGGCCTTAACTTTACTGATAGTGATCTGACAGGTATCTCACAGATTTCTGTCTCTCGCATTTGATCTGTTTGGATGAAGTGTTACAGGGTACTCTCCCCTCACTGAGCTCTCACAGTCAAAATGAGGAAGGAGGAAACCTCAATGAGCAACAATAAAAAGAAGATAAGAACATTTTTTCCTTGATATGCAAACACATCGTGGAATCACTCCTGAAAGTGCAGAGGACTGTTTGATTCAAAGTGTTCAGTGACGGAATCAGGAAGTGGTCAACCAACCAGCCAAACATCCACCAAAATGCTGCCTCAGTGTGGCACCCTGACCTCAATTAAATCAAATAATGCAGCGAAACATCTAACCCCATTTAGTTTTCTCTGAAATTATTGCAACACTTGGTTTTGACTAAAGTGATGTCAAACACCCACCAGAAGACTTTCACACTGAAACCACAATTTACGTTGTCACACAGGGGTGTTAGTGACGAATGCCTCCCAAACGCTTAAAGATTTTGAGATGACTTTTGAAAGACTGAAGTGTGACAGCCGCTCACATCTAATGACAATGTGAGTTTTTAGTCAAACACTTTAAGATTTTGCAAGGACTGGGGATCTTGCAGGGTCACTATTTGTAAGACTACAATTAAATTTTACATATTCGCAATTAAATCACATAAATCTAGAAACACAAGATAAAAGGTGTCACATGTCGACAGTATTCTCGTCAATCCAACATCAACATAATCCATAAAGATAACTGTACTTGCATACGAACTTTAAATTTTGGATTTGCCACGTTAACGAACTACCAGCCTCCGTTGGTTAGCTGGGTTATTTTAGTGGGAGGAGAGACAGAGACTTGTTCACATTCTTGCGCCTCCTCAGAGTCACCTCCAACATTTACTCTCCATGTTTGTCAAGCACTGTTTGCAAGAAAGGTAATGCATCAAAATGAGTATATATTCCATGTAATCATGAGCCAAGACTAAAAACTTAGATAATGTTAAACATGTTTGATTTTGTCACATTGTCGAGACGAGAGAAAGACCGACTCAAGTTTTATGACCACCATAAACCACAGGTATGAGCTCATGAAGGCGCACCAACTTTGGTTAAACTCTCAAGCTTTTATTCTGAAATCAGCAATTTGTCTGACAGTGAAATCACTTGTTCAGTTGTTTGGTGAAAGGCCGGCATAGGAGGTGCCATGAGGTCGATTTTGTTTCAGTTGGACAAAGCCAAGCTAGCTGCTTCTAGCCTTTATGCTAAGCTAAGCTAACCAGCTACTGGCTCCAGCTTCACTTTCAGTGCGCAGACATGACAGTGATACCAGTCTCAGTAAGATGCTGAGCTTTTCCTTTATATTCAATGTGAAATCAAAATCTCACTGACCCTGACACCAGCTAATAACAAGCTCCTCCACCTTCCCTCAACGCCCCGTTGCAGTCCAGCCCAGTCCTACCTGTTAGCTGCGATGTAACCCATGAACAGGATGCTGGCATACATGTTAAGGTAGAAGGCGGCGGCACCAAAGGTGCAGTAGATCCGACGTATAGAGACGGAGTTGCTGGTGTAGTTGGTGATTCGGAGGGGCAAACAGAGGCTGATGAGGAAGTCGGCGGCTGCTAGGTTCTTCAGGTAGATGGTCACGCTGCTGGACACCTGCTGCTGAGCTCGACAGAAGTAAACTTTCAGGGTGAAGCCGTTCAGAAGCAAACCCACCTGCAGGGGAGACAGGGTGTGGTAGAAATGCATTAGACATGAAGGAATGTCATGGTTTGGTAATGTGAGGAAACTCTGGCTGTTCGGAGGTAAAGACAAAGACTTTGATGATGTTCCTGCTGCCATGATAGAACTGTGTTAAACCAGGGTTACACATTAGCTGTCTTTTCACTAAAGGTGAATTTTAAGAAACTTTTCAAATGGATTATTCGCCTGAATAAAAAACATATTATATGCTTCTGCAAATCACAGATACATTACATTTGTACATTACACAAGATGTTGACAGCAGAATCAACTGATCAGTTGTGAGTTAAATGTTCACTATGCCAGAATTTAATTAGCAAAATCATTTCCTTATCCCACTGATCCATAGGGAGTATAAAGAGCAGGAAAGTTGGTGTAGCAAGGAAGTCAGGCTGGTGGATGCGTCAAACAAACACTGGACTTTCACCCATGAGACCACTGTTCATTTATCATGTGAAACTAAAACTCAACATTGACTTATTTTAACTTGAAGTACTCACAACTTTTACATAGTTACATAATTTGACATGACATATTAAGCCACTTTACGACATACTTATGTCCCGTATGTGCAACACATTTTCTCTCCGGGCCTTGCCACATAGCGACGCTCAGTCATGGACTTTCCATGTCGACATACGACGTCCAAGATACCCTGGGTGTGTTGGTTGTTGACGTTTGTTACATGCATTGTCTATTTTCAAAATACACTTCTGTTTTCGCAGGAAATGTACAGTTTGCATACAGTCTCTTTCAAAATAAAAGCACTACGACAGTACAGCATCACAAATTGATGTTTTTTTTTCCTTCAACAACAAACGCATGTGGTTGGGTCCAGGAAAAAAGAACAGGGTTTGCCTTTACAATCTTACGGAAAGTGAACCGACCTCCCGGGTGAAAGTCGGTGGTTGTTGGTGTGATGTTCTGTCTAGTTTATGCTCATGTGTTTGTGTCCACTTCCTGTTTTATTTTGAACTATGTTCTCATTGTGTTTAGTGTTTCTTTTACTTCCTGAGTTTTCCCGCCTTTGTTAATTTCCTCATGTGATTCACCTGTGTCTTGTTCCGCTCACCTGTGTGTGTAGTTAGTGATCAGCCCTTGTGTATTTAAAGTCCAGTGAGCGTTTCCCACATTCAGTTGCCAGATTGTCATTGTCACTCTCGATTGTTCACACACTCCCACCTTTTCCTTGTGTTTGATTCCTTTTGAGTGATTTCCCTGAATGGACTTTTCTGCCTTCACTGACTGCCCCCTGACCTCCTAAGTAAAGATTTAGATTTGATAAACCGTTCTTGGTGTTTTGTGTTTTTACTCTGCAACTGAGTCCCAGTTTTGTACTAGATCGTTACAGCTGGACCCATCCACACATCCAAGTCAATGACCATGCGCCAGTATTCCACGACTTCAGAGTGAGACGGGGTTGGTTTGTAACAAACGTATTTATTTTAACGAAAAACCACAATCTTTTTGGTAAAGCTAACCAAGAAGTTTTGGAGCCTAAAAACAAAACGTGCCTGCACCCCGTAACTTCAACATATTACGTGCCATTACCACGTAATGCGGTGTTGAGAGGTCGAGGATACCCCTGTGAGAAACCTGTTGCAGAAACCACGTCAAGCAAGTGTAAAAACTGTTGCCATATTTAAGATGATTTATATGTTGCTGTTTCCACACAGCTTTTCTAAAGCAGCACTACAAACTGCACATAAATATACATTCATGGAAACACAGCCATTGTCTGCCTCCTACTATTATACAAGAACAACATAAAGCAGAGTGAAATTTAAAGAAGCTTTAAGGATTTGACTGTGTCCATGCGGACAGCTGTGATCTCAGATTAGTGTGTCTGATAAACTTATTTTCAACAACAGCTGAGGCTCATCGGGTTTGTTCTGTTCAAGTTTTCCAGTTCGCAGTGAGGAGACAGGAACTGCATTTACAGTCAGGATTTGATTTGACAGTCAGGGTTCATTCTTACAAAAACTGTGCAAACAAATCATGTAGTTTCCTCAGTCAGAGTAAAGAGACTCACCAGGAACACCAGCGTGCAGACCACCAGGAAGAAAACGTTGGCCGAGGTGTTGACCTGATCGCAGTGAGTCGAAGTGCTGCCATTCGTCAGGTTGGACATTGAGGACTGGTTGAAGAACGGGGTCACTCCCGCTCCTCCGAGGTCGCTCATGTCTCTAGATGTTCTGCAAGAGTGGAACCCAAACAAATGATCTTTGAAGTGTTTCAACATTGTCCGTCTGCACACAGGAACTGATTAGAGCTGAAAGGGAAGTGACAGATCACCACAGCAGCAGCTGAGAAAATCTCACGATCAGAGCACGGACTAAAATACACCACAACCCATCAGACATCTAAATTTGACATGTCTGGTTAGAGGAGTCAGGTCCTGAACCACAGCACATCCCATCTGTCTCAGTAACCTGACTCCACCTGTTTCTGCCTTCTCTCATCAGAGTTTTTATACCAGCTCATTTCCTCTTGTTTCCTGCCACAGCATCAGTGTTGTTATGTTTCTCGTTACCTGTTCCTGTTCCTGACCTGCTCACCTGTCGCGCCCTCATGGATTCATTTAACTGTTTGGACTCCCTCATGTTGCCAACCTGTAAGCCTCTTCACTGTTTGCCTTGTGTGTGCATTTGTCTGAGTCCTCCTCCTTCTGTTAACCGAATTTACTAACGAGACAAACGTCCTTTTCAAACATCCTTAAATCAGTAACTTTTATCTTTAAGTGCAGTTTTGAAGCAGTAAGTAGTTCCCTTAGCTTGTTAGTTTCCCTGACTTAGTTCTACTTAATAAATATTTTTCATTTTATTCATTTTACTCACGATCACATCGCATGGTGTGGAGTTCAAACATTAGATACAATAACAGAACCGATTTAACCATAGGTGGAGCATTCTGAGAAACATAATGATGAGGTTATAAATAACATGACATCATCAGCAAAGAAAAGTACATTAAAATGTATAAATCCTTACCTACACTGATGATCCTGCAGATACTTAAACTTCACAAAGCTCAAAATACTTCTGCACACTGACTGCTGATACTTTAACAACAAGAAGCTGACACTACATTTGTACTTTAAACACTGATACTTTAATAACACGAATCTGAGAATACATCATACTGTTACTGCTGATACTTCACATGAACTCTGGAACACAAGTACTTTTACTTCAGGTATTATTACTACACAAAGCTGAAATTATTTCTCTACTTTTACTGCTGATACTTTAACTACATGAAGCCGAGAAAATGTCAGTACTTTTGCTTCTGATATTAAAAGTACACAGAGTAGAGTTACCTGCTGCACTCACCTGTCAGTCCGAGTCTCTGACAAGAAAAACTATTGCACTTCCTTGACAGCGAGAAGGAGGAAGACTGATGTGGTTTTAATTGTGTGTGACACGGCCGTTCATTTGCAAGTCAAACTCACACACACACACACACACACACACACACACACACTGCTAGTTGTGATAAACAGGTCAGGTTCTCCATTACAGACACTTTCAAAGTTGATTCTGTCTGTATTATTTAAGAGCCATGTGTCTGCTCTGTCCTTTGTTTAGATTTAATTTGATAATTTAATTTTATTTATTTTTGTTGTTGTTGTTTTTTACTTATGTTTGCTCTTGAAAGATGTGACATAAATAAACTTATTTAATCACATGAAATGTTTTTTTAACACACTATAATATAGTAATAAACAGATCTAAGTGTTTATTAATGCATTTGTTAACAGCTATTACTCCTGTAGACACCCATAACTGTTGGAAAAAAGTGTACATTAATGCAACACTAAACACTATTTTTATATATCTGCTTAAAACTAATATTATAGAGAAGTGTTAGCCATTTGTTCAAAGGCAACACTTTACAATCATTAATAATTGGTAAATTGATAGTTAATTAAACTGTAATTTATAGTTACTTTATTAACAAAAAATAAAATTCTGATGTATGTTTACTTATTAGTAGTAATGCTATAATTATAACTGCTTTTTGTTACACACATTATAACATTTTAAATATTATTAAGTACTTGTTAATGGTTAATAATATGTTTGTAAACAGTGTATAAACATTAAATGGATGGCTATTATGAAGTTGTAACTGATGATTATAATGTGCTGTTGAACTGTTATTAAATACTGTGTGGTGCATCTGTAAACACTGGAACTTAATAATGGAGACCTAAATAATATCTATGGACAGTTTACAAACCATGTGTGCAACAATAAACTGTGAAAGTAACATAAATTATACTATTACCAAAAAGTTTTTATTATTATTTATTGTTTGTTAACAGTAAAATAACTATTAACCAAAGATTAATTAGCTCTCAGTTTACCATTTATTAATGATACTTATACACTCATCGGCCATTTTATTAGGTACACCTGTTCAACTGCTCGTTAACACAAACAGCTAATTAGCCAATCACATGGCAGCAGCTTAATGCATTTAGTCATGTAGACATGGTGAAGACGAGCTGCTGAAGTTCAAACGGAGCATCAGAATGATGAAGAAAGGTGATTGAAGTGACTTTGAACGTGGCATGGTTGTTGGTGCCAGACGGGCTGGTCTTAGTATTTACTGGGATTTTCAGCACAACCATCTCTAGGGTTTACAGAGGATGGTCCCAAAAAGAGAAAATATCCAGTGAGCCAAAATGCCTTGTTGATGCCAGAGGTCAGAGGAGAATGGCCAGACTGGTTCAAGATGATAGAAAGGCAACAGGAAGTCAAATAAGCACTGGTTCCAACCAAGGTGTGCAGAAGAGCATCTCTGAAGCAACAACACCTTGTCCAACCTTGAAGCAGATGGGCTACAGCAGCAGAAGACCACACCAGGTGCCACTCCTGTCAGCTAACAACAGGAAACTGAGGCTACATTTCACCAAAACTGGACAATAGAAGATTGGAAAAACCACATTCAGATGGAAGCATGGATCCATCCTGCCTTGTATCAACGCTTCAGGCTGCTGCTGGTGGTGTAATGGTGTGGGGGAGATTTTCTTAGTACCAACTGAGCATGGTTTAAACACCACAGCCTACCTGAGTATTGTTGCTGAGCGTGTCCATCCCTTTATGACCACAGTGTACCCATCTTCTGATGGCTACTTCCAGCAGGATAACGTACCATGTCACAAAGCTCACATCATCTCAAACATGACAATGAGTTCACTGTACTCCAATGGCCTCCACAGTCACCAGATCTCAGTCCAATAGAGCACCTTTGGGATGTGGTGCCTCTTTAAATGATGCAGGACAACCAGCACTCAGCCCAGCTTAGTCTAGACAAGGCGCTGGAAACATCAATAAGTCCAAACTAGCAGAACAGTCAGACTGGCTGCATGCCCATCCGCCACAATATCAAACAACACTAATATTGATAAAATATTGTATCTTTAGTTGCAGACAATTTAGATGCTTCATTTCTATTCTTACTGCAGCTTCTCAGTGCACAGTGTACATGACAAAGACGTGTATAAGTAGGTCAGTGAACGCCACATCCCATTCATGTTTGCTTTGTTATTTTTCATAGATACCGGCCTTTATCTTTCTGTGTAAATATTAGAGGTTAAAAAGAGAAGAGAATTAGAGCGGGACGAGGTGTCTCTGTGCTGAAGAGGAAAGTGTTTCAGGAACAACTTAATTGTTTGATGGAGTAAGTTAATGTGGAGGGATTCTCCCCGGCTGACCTGAGAGGAGGAACAAGTTCAGTCAGGTCATAAAGTCCTGATGTAGTTCTGACTGTGGTGGCTTCAGCAGGAGTCACAATGACTGTAGTAATAGCATGTGTTAAGTCATGTTTGCACACTGCTGCCTGGTGGTCACAGTGAGTTATTACAGTCATATCCATTGGTGCAGTGGATAGTCATTATAGCGTTGTCATCATGTGTCCTCATGTGGTCACACTTTGTTACTACACCTCCATTATGAGAGTTTTATTTTGAAAGTTATTATGTTGTCAGTGTGATTTTACACCTGGTAGATTTCATTACCATGATCAATTAATACTTATTTTATATTCATTTTTAAAATGATGTATTCGTTTTTCAATTTTTGTATTTATTTCAGTAATTTAGTTTGTTATATTTTTCACCCTATTGGTTTTCCCAAACTTATTTTTTCTGTGTAATTATTTCAAATGAATACATTTAAAAATGACATCTTAGATTAAAAATATATTTGAAACAAGTAAAAAAAAATGTGAAATTAAAAAATATATATATTTAAATAATACATAAAAATAAAATAAACGAAAAAGGGAAGTGATTATCTATTCTTATCTATTGTTTTGTATTTATTTTAATTATGTATGTAAACAATTTGAATGACCCATTGATTTTTCTGTATTATATTTTAAAATAAAAACATAAAAATAAATAAACAAGACATTTAACAATAAATTTGAAACGAGCAAAAATACAATAAAAATAAAAAGAAACACAAATAAATGGATTAATGAATAAATAAAAGGAAATTTAAAAAGAGAGTTTAAAAAATTAGGTAGTTGATACCAAGGTTTAAACATTTTTTTTAAAAAAAAACATATATGTATGTCACATTTTATCATTTAATGCCAACTTTTCAATATTTGTATTTATTTTTTAAATTTATGTATTCAGTTTAAAATTTTGCATTTATTTTACTAATTTAATTTTTTTGCATCCCCCTATTGATTTTCCCAAACCTTTTGTCTGTATTTTTTAAAAATAAATAATAAATAACATTTGACAATAAATGTAAAAAAAAATAAATATAAATGAAAAATAAAAAGTCTGTGTAAAAAAAATCAAATTTATTAAAAAAAAAATTAATGCCAACTATTTATAATTTTAATTGTGTTTAATTTAATTTATTTATCAAGTAATTCATTCTTTTATTATTTAATTGTGGCACTTCCGTCCTGCCCGTCTGTCAGGATTCATTGTAGAAACACTGCCTCCCTGTGGAATAAAACATAAACAACAACAAAATATTTTCTCCTAATATTTCCTACATTATCATATAGTCTATATATTTAATTTATTCTGTTGTTTCACTTCACAAATATCAATGTTTTATTTTTAATTTAATGTTCTGTGTAGAAACCAACAGTTACCTCGACACGCTTTGACCTCAGATCAGATTATTCTGTCAGGTTTTCCTGTGGTTGGAGGAACAGCTTCAGTCTCATCATCATCATCATCATCATCATCACTGTAAAACACACTCGATTCAGATGTCTAAATCTTAAAGTTATTAAAAGTCCAACCACTCAGAGAGAGGAGCGACTTGTTTGACTCGAAGCCACAAAAACCAAATCAGCTGACCTGAGTGAAAAGTTAACGAGTCACAGTAACGTGATGAGTCGGTGTCACAGGTTTGATGCCCAGTCATCGCCGTCCACTTTCACTTCCACATCAGCACTTCCTTCTCTTTACTCTCTTTCCTTCCTTTAATTTGGTTGTTCAACAATAAACAACACCTTGTTATAAACATGTTATTTAGTAATATTTACTGTTTGTTATTTACAACTTTACAAACAATATTCTGCATTTACACACATTTCTGTCTGAAAATATCACGTTATGACATCATGGTGATAAAAACAATAAGTAAACTGCTTGTTTAGGAACATTTACATTCATTTAAGTTACTTTGAAATCTGAGTCACAATAAAGTTCACCTTCCAGGAAAAACACACAGAGGTGAATTTACTGACAACTTTCTTTTTTAAATTACTGTGACAACATTCACACGACACCACAGTCTGATTAAGGCTCAGTGTTCCTCGTTTCCTCTCCTTGTCTCCTCTCTTGTTTCCCCTTCTTCTTGTTGCTAACTTCTGCTTCCTTGTGTCCTCTCTCCTTCAGTGACCCAGAAATCACTCCCCCTCTGCAATCATGGAGGATGTTCCAGTCTTTGTCTCTCCTCCCCTTATCTTCTCTCTTGTCTCCTCTCTTGATTCCTCTCCTTGTCTCCTCTCTTGTGTCTCCTCTCCTCGCCTCCTCCCCTCCTATATGTGGCTCAGACTCTGGGCGGTGGTCAGGGACCTCCTCCTCTCTCTTCCTGACAGTTTCCTCAGCAGCGACTCTCTGAAGGTTCGGCACATCAGGAAGTAGATGATGGGGTCGAGGCAGACGTTGAGCGCCGACAGGAAGAGCGTCCCCTCCTTCAGCTGGAACAGCAGGAAGCGGGTGTCCCAGCTGAAGCCCGACGCCTGCGTTTGGCTCAGAGTGTACGGTATGCGGCAGACGTGGTACGGCACAAAGCAGATGAAGAACACGCCCAGGATGCTGAAGATGCTGCGGTTCGACTTCCGACAGACATCGCTGTTGTCGGTGCGGACACGGCGGTAGGACTTGTAGACCCGGCAGGCGATGGAGGCGTAGCAATAGGCGAGGACCACCAGCGTCGCCCAGAAGAGGCTGACACTGAAGAAGGTGGACACCCGGTGCCACTGCATGCCCAGCTCAGTCTTTAGCTGCATGCAGTGCCGTGCGTTCGTCTCGTTGGCTGGTTGGCTGGTCAGCACGACGTTGGGCAGCACGCAGAGGAGGAGGAAGCCCCAGGTGAAGAATGCCAGCACCCGGGCGAAGACGACACTCTGCAGGAGATGCAGCAAGGAAACAATGCCACACCTGGACCTGCAGGAGGACAACGACGAGGAGGGAGAGGAAGTGTGTCGGAAGATCTTGACGTAGCGTTCAAGGCTGATGAAGCCCATGAAGAGAATCCCCACGTACATGGAGGAGTAGAAGAGCACGGCGGTGTAGCGGCAGATAACCACGTGGAGGCGCCAGCCGCCCACTCCCAGCTGAGTCATCAGCTTGAAGGGGAAGGTGGCGAGCATGAGGAGGTCGGCCACGACCATGTTCTTCAGGTACACCACCAGGCCCGAGTCACTGGGCACTCTGAAGAAGATCCAGGCGGCCACACCGTTCAGAGACGCTCCAACAACGCAGATCACCAGGTAGAGCGGTGGGAGCACCTGCAGGGTGAAGATGCTGCTGAAGTCTGATTGGTTGGTGGGGGCGCAGGTGGAGTTCAGGGGATCCATGACTGGAAACACACAAACAAACACAGTGAGAAAAGAAGGATCATGTTTATCCTTTGGTTTTGTTGTTCAGGTCATATCGGATAAACAGAATACACATAGGGCAGCTTTGTCTACATGTGACACACTAGGTATCCTCCTGCGTTTGCTGTTGACACTCCAGGACGCCACAACCATCACCGGCACATCAACAAAAGCACGTGGTTAGGTTTAGGAAAAACTTCATGGTTTGTCTCTACATTCATACACAACATGAACACCAGGTACCCAGGTCTGATCCAACCCCTCCCACCTGCCCTACAGGGACATTCCAGCTCCTTATATAACGTTGATATTTCAAACTGACGCCATCCAGTGGCGTGTCATACCATTGCGACAGGTGCCATCATAACACCACTAAAGGTTACTGTCCAACACATCCTCACTGTGACCTCGTCACATGTCCACGTTTGGTCATGGACTTTCCACGTCCACATATGACGTCCAAGGTACCCTGGGTGTGTTGGTTGTTGACGTTCTGAGACGCCGTGTCAACGTCAGCCTGTTACATGCATTGTCTGTTTTCAAAATACACTTCTGTTTTCACAGGAAATGTACAGTTTGCATACAGTCTCTTTCAAAATAAAAGCACTGCGTCGGTACAACACGTCAATTGATGTTTTTTTCCTTAACAGCTACCGCACGTGGTTGGGTTTAGGAAAAAAGATCAGGGTTTGGCTTTAGAATCTCACAGGATGCAAACACCGCTCTCTCGGGTGAAAGTCGGTGTTTGTTGGACCCATCCACCTCCCCTCTGTCTTTTACTTACCCACCATACTCGGACTTTTGCCGCCTTAACTTTCATCCTTGTCCCATCGCCAGGCACCATTAAATTGCATATCATGCCAATGTTAAAGGACGTCTTTATTCACTGGTTTCTGACACTGCAAGTTACTGTCCAAGCACCGGATTTGGACAACTTTGTAGTGACACCGAGCTCTACTGTCTGGCTGCGTTACAAACTCACGCCGCACTGCGGTGTATGATACCACCACAAATGCATTCTCGGAACCCATCGCCGTCTGCCGGAAGTCAGACTGCGATACAGCCTCTGGGGGCAGACCCTCGATTTTTTGGCATTCCGGTTTGATTTGGGTGGAGGAGGCGAATTTCCGTTTCTGACTTCCGTTTATATATCAGTAAATATGCTGAACCATTGCTATGGATTCAGAGTTTGCAGTGATGCCAGTTATGTCCCGCCTCATTAGTTCACCACACAGACCGTTTAACCTGGCAACAACTGCAGCCGGCTCAAACGTGATTGGTCAATATCACGCGGACTACAAACAGCCTACAACTGGAAACCAGGGCTCTTCCGCTCTTCTTCCGGAGGCAAGATCTCCGGGGTTTGCCTACAGACTCTGCATTCACTGAATGTAGAGTCTGTATATAGAGACTACCACAAAGGTGGCTTTTGGACTCAGGTGTCTGACGCCAAAATCACTGACAAAGCGGCGGTATTTGACATCTTCGCAATGAGAACGGGCTGAGCACCACCCTCTCGTCCAAATATGGTCACTTCTGGCACCAACAATAGAAGCCTCAAAACAATGGGTGACGTCATCGTATCTACGTCTTTTATAAATAGAGTCTGTGTTTCTAACTTTTCCTCAAATGCATCGTTCTGTGAGACTAAAATCCATTTACAATATTAAATACTCAAATAGAAGCTTGTCATGTTGAAACCTAGTTTTATTAGCCTTTCTTAACATCTATAAATATTATTAACATAATTTGTTTTAACCCTGAATGACTTTGGATCACTTTATGTACAAACCAAACACCGTTCTGACACTTCAGGGTTGTGACTTTAGATTTTATTTTCAGGCTTTTAGTCAGATTCACGACCTGCTATAAAGACACTTACTGAGACGTCTTCATCTGGTCTTACTGAGTTGTGAGAGTTGTCAAGATGAGAGCACCTGAGCTGTTGAGAGGCTCGTGGAGCTCAGGTGTGTGAGCCTCTTTCTGGATCTGTGAACACTCCTGTGCACATTCACAACTTCCTGTTTCTTTTAGTAAAGTGTCCTAACAGTCCATGAAGATAACGTGTTGTGTTCAGTTCACAGGCAAAGTGCTGATTGCAGTTTATTTTATATCTGTAAAGTGTTTTATCTGTTTTCTAGTAAACTGAGTTTATTAGCGTTTGGTTTTATCTTTTACTGCTGCAGTTAGTGTTGGCCTCCGGTCACAGGAGGAGTTCACGTGGTGAGTTGTGGTGTTACAGTATAATTTAAGGGTCACTGGTAGAAGTTTGAGTGTTTTTCTGTTCAAACGTGTGTTTATTTGTGTGTGTAGCTTTGGTTATCCACAGATGGTATACTTTCTGTGCACTGGCCTATGTATTGGTGCACCACACCCCTGCTGCAGGACGCTCTACATTTTGAGTGATTTTATAATATCACTGTGAGGGACTAATAAAAGCCTGTTATGGTATTTTGACCCAAACTGACTGTTGGCTTCATTACTGAAGTTCACCTGTAGTTATATAGGACAGTGAACTCGGGTGTTACATTAAGAAGTAGAAGGAGCTTCTGCACTTTTGATTCCTGGGCATAACATGCCACTAATGAGTTTAAATCCCAGGTAAAAATTCAGTTTTTGTACGTCTGCCTCTGAAAGTCCATTATTAGCTTAAAGTACACAGTAGATGTATATTTTCTCTGTCAGGAGGCTGCAGACGCTTCACATATAGATATGAACAAAGGAGTCGTAGAGGAAGCTTGTGTGTGTGTGTGTGTGTGTGTGCGGCTCCACTGAAGATCCCCGTTAACTCCCCACAGACACCTTTCATGTTCATGAAGTGAACACACAGCGCTCTGTTTACACGGGGGACACATGCACAAACAAAAAGCATCTTCAACTGCCGTTTGTCCTGCTGTTCACACACACTTCCCTCCTGACACTGATTAATCCCAGTCCAACACACACACACAGTCCTCCTTAGAAAAACAGGACATTTCCAGAGAAGGACGACATCAGGCTGCCTTTGGTTTTCCTGTCTTTTATTTTTAGCCCCTGTCTCGACCTGACCCGGTCTCAAACTTGTGATTTGTGCTGCCTCTGTTCTAGTCCTGTCACATTTCCTCTAAATCCAAAGTGGTTGATCATTACAGAGGTAAAACCCAAACAACCTGAAACATTCTTGAGCGTCTTCCTCCTGCGCTGATCTGAGCCAGAAACAGTTAATATCAAGTACATATCTTTAGTAAGGATCATTTCTGAGGGTTCCTCTCACTTCCTGTGTTTACTCTGAGCACTTTATTTCACATGAAGCAGCTGTGCAGTGAGATTATAGCAGACAAACATTCCTCCCAGCTCAGTGTGTCTGTATACACCACCACTCTGTATCGAAACAGCTCCAGTTTATAAAACCACAGTCAGGTTTCCAACCAGTGTCAAACACACGCAGCTATAAATCCACAACGTGTGACACTGCAAGTTGCCGCCCGGGCGCCAGATTTCAGCGACTTTGGAGTGAGACCGGGTTGGTTATCCACACCAGCAGGGCAGACCCCAAACACACCGGAGGGATTATAGATCCTCAGGAGGAGCTGGAAGGTGTAGTTGGGAGAGGGATGTCTCAAGTACCTTACTGACCCTGCTGCCCCTGAGACCTGAGTCCGGATCAGTGGATGAAAATGGATCAGTCTCTATCAGTGTTAGTTCATATGACGAGATATAGGTCTTTGGGAACATAGGGATGACTCTCCTAAAGTCCTGGAAGGTGATGTCTTCTTTTCGGTCTTTAAAGAGGCAACAGATAGGATTCGTTTTTTTTTTAGCTTGACACACACCCTTGTGAATTCATATGTGATTACGACCAGTCTCTGCTTTGTTCTGGTGGTGGGTTGGCCAAAGTTGCCTACGGGTTACATCTGTAACAGGAAATCTATGGAATTGGGAGCTGGCGATGTTTTTATTCCCACAGCTGTTCGCACCATTTTGGTATTCCTCTGTTTACCTACAGCACCTGGTGAGGGTGTGTCGTGAGCCCGAGCCAGTGTTTGTGCTGTAGTAGTAGGTATATACAGGGCTAGTACATCTTCTTCCTCACTAATAATAGCCTACTGGTTCTCTGTTGGAAACAGCCGGTGAAGTTTTCGTTAGCCGTTGCTATCCTGTGCACATGCACAGCGTGGTGATGAACTGGCTGATTGATTTCTGTTGGCGTGCTGTCTTGCGGGCCTGCACGGCGGAGTGATACTGGCCAGAAAATAGTCCCTATTGATAGCAAGGTCTGACTTTATGCGGGGATGTTTTAAAATTATTGAAATAGTCTAACAAAATACATGCATATTTTTTTGTAGCTTAAAACCTTTTGGTTACGTGTCCCCCGTACATCTTAAGAACTACTTTTTCTCCGGTAAGCTACGGGCGATTTCTCAGAGCAGGAGGCTCGTTGACAGTAGTGACACGGTCACATCAGAGCTACAGATGGTCAGTTTTTCACACAACTTCATGTCCAAAAACCTGAACTATCACTTTAAGGGCTCTGCATAAAAGAGAGACAGCTAACGCTAACTAGCCCCCCTCCTTCCATTACAGCAGAATTGAGCGTGAGAGGTGCTGATGATAACATCTAGAATGAGATCAGAAAACCCTGCACAGACTGTTGTGGCCTTTACTCAGAGATGACCCATACTTTTTTAGTTGGTATTTGAATGGTACAGATGCAGGAGATGCTGATCAGCAGCAGAAAAGCAACAACTTCTTCTTTCAGCCGAGCACAAGAAGTGATGCAATGACCCTGTGAGCTGTTTCAGAGGAGCTGGTATCAATGTTCAGAGGAAGCGTACGTGTAGCTGTAGAGATTGTTTAGATTACACTATTTGCAAGAGTTATTTGTTAATCAAAACTGCCTCCGTCCAGCTCGCTGCATCACACACACGAATGTTTGTGTGAAGCAATCGAACCGAGTCAGTCACTGGAAACAAACACATAGTATTCAAATCAGTGAGTCTGG